TTTGACCGTAATCTTGTCAATTCTAATCGATTCTATTATATTTTAACTCTTTTGTTATTCTTTTTCCTTTGATATTGCAAAGGAGATCGGTGATTTGGTGAAGAAAGCGAAGGGAAGGGAAGGGGAAGCAACTCACTCTCCTACAGTACTAAATCATGGTCCCTTTTGTCTTTTTTTATCTTAATCTTGTCAATTCCTATCGAATCTATTATATTTTGTTCTATTGATATTTTTTGTGTTTCATATTCTTTAATTTTCTTTAATATTAGAGTTTAAAAGTGGATAGATTTCATGAAAATTTGAGACAAAAGAGGGAAATGGTTAAGGATTTTGGGGGGATCAAGCGTGAATATCAAGCTATTTTACGCCGGGGCCGTCATGTGGTCCTGGCCGAGTGGTTAGTTGGCTGGGCTGTCATGATGTTGGGTCCTGGTTCGAGTCCGGGTTCGGGCAAACTTTTGCTTTTTTCTAAAACAATCCTTGTCTAATTTAAAGCAGAAGAAACGTCTGTCTGTCTGTCCGTCTGTCTGTCTGTCCATATGTTCGTCGGTCCGTCTGTCTGTCTGTTCATTTGTCTGTCTGTCTGTCTGTCCATCTGTTCGTCGGTCTGTCTGTTCATCTGTTCGTCTGTCCGTCTATCCGTCTGTCCATATGTTCGTCGGTCCGTCTGTCTGTCTGTTCATCTCTCCGTCCGTCTGTCTGTCTGTTTGTCCGTCTATTCGTCTGTCCATCTGTCCATTTGTCCGTGTGTGCGGAGCCAGTAACAAAAAGAAGCGGGGCTTAGATTGCGTGGACCTCGGCAGTGGAAAACGCAAACTTTTTCCGCTGGTTAAAGTCATAAATGTAAAATCTTTCCATGTAAACACTTTAAATCTTTGCTGTATTTTAAAATTAGACAAACAGTTCCGCCAGAAGCGAGCTTAATAAATGCTAAAAGCGAATAAATAAGCCAAAAGCCGATCAACGATTCCCACGAAAACAAAGCGAATTTCTAGATTTGCCCGAACTTCGGGAAATGTTCGCCACTCCGGCACGACCCAGCCAGCTACCCCAAAGCGATTCCCAGCCCGTCACTCGTCCTCTCCATTTAGACACAAATCTACTCACCCCGGCGCCAAGGAATATCTATGCGGTTTGTTTGGGAATTTGAGCCAAGAGAGGGAAATGGTTAAGGAAAGGTTTTGGAAATGGCTTAGAAAACACTTTAAAAACAATTGAGAAACGAGTTTTTGCTAGATTTCCTACCAAAAAAGAAGTTCGCATTCATAGAAAACGAGAGGAGAATGCCGAAAATGATTAATGAAACGAAAAGCGGACGATGGTGACGATGCTCATAAGTGGCAAAATACATGGTCGCGATAAGGCGCTCGATCATCACACCAACGAAACACGCTGGAAATTGTTTTCTCTCTTTTTTGCAAAGGGCTTCCATCGCTGTGCTATCCATAACGTAAGGATTTTTTGTGTAAAACCTCAGAAAGTCATTCTAAGAACAAAAATTTTGGACCAACTAAAACTACAGTACCCAGTAAATTTTTTAAATTATTCAAAAGAGGAAAAATTTCCTTTTAAAATCTCTCTGTGCTATCCAGAACTGCAGAATTTTTTGTTTAAAACTTCCAAAAGTTATTCTAAGACCAAAAATTTTGGACCAACTAAAACTACAGTACCCAATAAATTTTAATTATTCAAAAAAGGAAAATTTTTCTTTCAAAACTGCGCTGTGCTATCCAGAATTTAAGAATTTTTTGTTTAAACCTTCCAAAAGTTATTCTAAGACCAAAAATTTTGCGCAAACTAAAACTACAGTACCCAATAAATTTTAATTATTCAAAAAACGAAAAATTTCCTTTTAAAATCTCTCTGTGCTATCCAGAATTTAAGAATTTTCAATTTAAAAGCCCAAAAAGTGATTCTAAAGTCTAAATTTAGAGAGCTATTTGAAAAGCTTTTAAGCTTTTTTCAAAATAAAGCTTTTTTCTGTAATTTTTCAACTTCTAGCAACTTCTAGCTTATCTTAAAAGTCTAAAATATTATAGTTTTATGGAAAAAGATTGTAAGGGATTGATTACTACCGTAAATACTCTAATAGTCCCCCACGCCCCTCGTACAGTCGCGTAGTCGCAAAAGTTTTTTAGGATTTCATTTTTGCAAAGCACCCGTACTTTCAAAAAATGCGTCTTTGGTATCAAAAAATAGCCCTGAATTTCAGCTATTTTTTGCTATTTAAGCGCGCATTGTAGCTTAAACCAGTGTCGAGAAAAACGCGTTTTTTCGGGATTGTTGCGTAGTCTAACTTTAAACATCCCGTTCTCCGCGCTGCTTTATGCTACAATCCTCGCTTTGGTATCAAAAAATAGCCCTGAATTTCAGCTATTTTTTGATACCTAAGCGCGCATTGTAGCATAAACCAGTGTCGAGAAAAAAGGCGTCCAAAGCTAGACTATGCAACACTCCCGCACCGTCATTATGAAGGTGGGGTACTATTACAGTATTAGGTAGCTTACGGTAGCTTTTTATAGAGTGAATAAAGCCCCTACAATTCAGTGCGATCACCACATAGCTTCGAATAAATGAGGCAATCATCAGCGCAATTTGACAACGATCGGTGCCTAGAATTTAACGGATTTACACCATCGAAACCAGTTGCCAAGTTCAGAGCTAGTTGAGCGTTTTATCAACTTTTCCTCTTTGACTAACTTGCTCGATAGATTTGGCATCTCAATGTTGATTGACTCTCGTAAAAAATCATCAAAAAACGAGCGATTCCACAGAAATAAAAATGATAGAAACTTTGCTGCAGAATCAAGAGGAGATTCGGGTGGAAAATCTGAACAAATCTCTTTTCAAGCTTTCTGCATAATCCTAGCCGAAGCCTAAGCCTTTCTATAAACCTAGAATCAGGCCTTTTAAGCCTTTCTAGGCTAGAACAAGTCCAGCCAAATCGATTCCGAAAACTTTACCTTTGATTCACCAAGTCTTGCCCTGAATTTGACCTTAAATTTCGTCAATCTGGGAGTCACACCGATGATTGGCGCCAAATTTTGATGAAACTAATGACTTTGGAAAATTCACCTCGCCGAGCATTCTTTTTGGAAGGGATTTTGGATTTTTTCTAATTAAAACTTGCCAACTTTACAGAATATTTCTCCAATTTGGAAGTCACACCGATGATTGACGCCAAATTTTGATGAAACTATTGACTTTGAAAAATTGACCCCACCAAGGCCCCACATTACCCACTTTTGCCCTCAATTCACCATGTCTTGTCCTAAATTTGACCTCAAATTTCCCTGATCTGGAAGTCACATCGTTGATTGGGGCAAAAATTTCATGCAATTAATGGCTTTAAGAAATTCATCCCACCGAGCATTCATTTTGGAAGGGATTTTAGCCTTCTTTTGGTAGAACTTGCCAATTTCACTTTAAATTTCGTCAATCTGGAAGTCACATCGTTGATTGGCGCCAAATTTTGATGAAACTATTTACTTTGAAAAATTGACCCCACCAAGGCCCCACATCACCCACTTTTGCCCTCAATTCACCAAGTCTTGCCCTGAATTTTACTTTAAGTTTCTCCAATCTGGAAGTCACAACGTTGATTGACGCAAAAATTAGCTAGCTAGATATGGTTTCTGGTAGATTCAAGTGAGTTAGCGCCTAGGGCTAGAAAAGGACGGAGTCAAGCTGTTCAAAAACTTTTCTGGGCCAAGTCTAACAGTAATGCTAGGTCTAAGCCCAAGCTAGGATCTGATTTCTGACTCTAACTTGCTTTAAAAGGCCGTCTGATAGTTAAAAACGTTTACCGGAGTCGCCGACGAGATGTGGAGAGCGAATGGGGAGAGGACGAAAGACAGCAAATAAAGGGAAATCTCGGTGAAATAGCTCATCCAAATGAGAGAACCAATTCCATCTCTATACCCGACGGACATATTAATATACATTGCCAGTTGGACTTCCATTTTGAAGCAAAAAATTCTGGCTCAATACAGTTTTATATTCGTTTATCAGCTCCACTCCATATCAGCTTCACTAAACAGCTGAATTCCGTAAATTCACCTGTATTTCCGGCTTTTCATTGCGTCTTGAGTTTACTCTTCAAGACTGGGAAAATTGGGCAAATGAACCGAAATTTTTTTGTGTTTAAAACCAAAAATCTCATTTCAAAAGCTTGTGTGATATCCAGCTTCAACAATTTGATCAAAAAAATTTCGAAAATAACAAATCGATTTGGGAAAATCGTGCCAGCTACAAAACTGCGTAAATGAACCGAAATTTTTTTGTGTTTAAAACCAAAAATTTCATTCCAAAAGCTTGTGTGATATCCAGCATCAACGGTTTTATAAAAAAAAATCTCTAAAATGACAAATCAATTTGGGAAAATCGTGCCAGCTACAGAATTGCGTAAATGAACCGAAATTTCTTTTTGCTTTAAACCAAAAATTTTGTTTCAAAAGCTTGTGTGATATCCAGCATCAACGGTTTTACGAAAAAAGCTCGAAAATGATCAATCAATTTGGGAAAGTCGTGCCAGCTACAGAATTGCGTAAATGAACCGAACACTTTGGCAAAATTTCTAACAAATTTCCCTTTCAAATGAAAGCATGACATCCAGAATAGACAAATTTTTAGAAAAAAAGGAATGCAACATATATTTTATTTGTCTTTTCCTAAGCCTAAGCCAACTCCGGGGCTTGGTTTAATTACCCAACTCAGCCTCTAGCTCTAGCCGAAGCCTTTGACTCAGAGTCGTCTTTTCTGCAGTTATCTAGTCATCTGGCCACTCTCTTTACTCTCAATTTCCCATTTTTTCCATTTCTCACTCACTGGAAATGCGAGAGGGCCAAGCTGTGTCAACATTTCCGAAGAGAGCAGCCAAGGTTTCCCCAATTTCATATATTGACTCGCTCATTTTTCTCCGTAAACCCATTGATCGGCGATTCTGGAGTGCACAACATTTTAAGCTGTAATTGTTTCTCGAAAATATTGTGATTATCAAAATGTCACTGCCACGCTTTCGCTTGTCTCGATCGACGTCGATCTCGTCAAGCAGCGGAGAGACCAGATCCTCCTCATTGCCTCTCGATTCGCCACCATTACCAGGTGAGTTTCGAAATCGTGAGCCAGTCCAAATCGGGAAAAGAACCTTGAAAATGTTATTGATCCAGCAAGACAGACCTAGTGACTCACTTCTAACTAGGGAACGTTGTTAACCTGGCTTTACACTCAGAAAATAGCCTATCTGATGCAGTTTTTCACGCTGATTCCGAATCCGCAATCAGTTTTTGCCAAACGCTTCTCTATCGTGAGATTTATGGCATACAACTTTTTGGGGTTCCTTTATGAGGGCGCACTATCTTCAGCCGACGGCCTCGGTGGTGTAGTGGTTAGTGCGCGCGCTGCCCTTTTGGACCCCGAGGGTTCGAGTCCTTTCGAGCCATTAACAACAAAGCCATTAACTGTCCGTCTGTCTGTCTGTCTATCCGTCTGTCCGTCTGTCCGTCCGTCCGTCCGTCCGTCTGTTCGTCTATCCGTCTGTTCGTCTATCCGTCTGTTCGTCTGTCCGTCTGTCAGTCCGTCCGTCTGTTCGTCCGTCTGTCTGTCCGTCTGTCTGTCCGTCTTTCTGTCCGTCCGCCTGTTCGTCTGTTCGTCTATCCGTCTGTCCGTCTGTCCATCTGTTCGTCTGTCCATCTGTTCGTCTGTCGATCTGTCCGTCTGTCTGTCTGTTCATCTGTCCGTCTGTCCATTTGTCCGTGTGTGCGGAGCCAGTAACAAAAAGAAGCGGGGCTTAGATTGCGTGGACCTCGGCAGTGAAAAACGCGAACTTTTTCCGCTGGCTAAAGTCATAAATGTGTAAAATCTTTCCATGTAAACACTTGAAATCTTTGCTATATTTTAAAATTAGACAAACAGTTCCGCCAGAAGCGAGCTTAATAAATGCAAAAAGCGAATGAATAAGCCGAAAGCCGATCAACGATTCCCACAAAAACAAAGCGAATTTCTAGATTTGCCCGAACTTCGGGAAATGTTCGCCACTCCGGCACGACCCAGTCAGCTACCCGAAAACGATTCCCAGCCGGTCACCCGTCCTCTCCATTTAGACACAAATCTACTCACCCCGGCGCCAAGGAATATCTATGCGGTTCGTTTGGGAAACTATAACAAAGCCCGAGAAAGTCAATATTGATCTCGTTTTACGCCAGAAAAGACCTATTTCAATAGGAAAATGCCAAAATGGGGCTTTTGTTGTGATCGGCCGCCCGAAATCGGCCTTTCATCGCCGGAAAACATGACCTTCCCCCTATTTTTTGCTGATTCATCGCAACAACTCCAAGATTTCATTCAATATTTGTACTAATTGGAAGGCACTAGAAGGATTTCGTGAATAAAAATGGCTCTAGAATGAGATTTCGAGAATTTGGTTTTGGGGGAAACGGGACCGTGCCTCGCTGCTGCTTTTAGTGATAGTTAGATAGATTTTGAAGCGATTTTTGGCAGTCCTGGAACGCACTTTAGGCAATACAAATAAAGAGCTAAGCAAAAATGACTTCTGGAAAAATTGAGTTTAGAATATAGCCGTTTCTGGCATGTCGATTTCCCTTTTTTTCTATTCAGCCAAAATCCCGGCCCGACCACTCCCCTATTCAAATATAGAACATCAAAAGATGGCCAAAGAGCCCTCTCTCTCTTTCAATTCTTTGACTCGATTGCCATTTCATCGCCTTTTTTTTGAGCGTTATCACCCCTTTTCACAGCCTCCCCTATCGATTCCGTGGCATTACTCACTCTTCCCCGCGATTCACCAAGTCTTGCCCTGAGTTTACCTTGAATTTGACTTTAAATTCCACCAATTTGGAAGTCACATGATTGATTGGGGCAAAAGTTTCATGAAACTAGTGGCTTTAAGAAATGCCCCTCACCAAGACCGATTTGTTTGGCAAGGAAACTTGAATTTTTTTAAAATTGAAGTTTCCCATTTTCCCGAAAATCTTTCAATCTGGAAGTCACATCGTTGATTGGCGCAAAAATTTCATGAAACTAATGACTTTGAAAAATTGACCCCACCAAGGGCTCACATTACCCACTTTTCCCCTCAATTCACCAAGTCTTGCCCTGAATTTGACCTCAAATTTCCCTGATCTGGAAGTCACATCGTTGATTGGCGCAAAAATTTCATGAAACTAATGGGTTTAAGAAATTCATCTCACCGAGACATTTTGGAAGGGATTCCCTGGTACCAACAAAAGTAATCTGGAAGTCATTGATTGGAAAAATCAGAAATATGAGAAACCACCAAGACCCTAAATTACCCACTTTTGCCCTCAATTCACCAAGTCTTGCCCTGAATTTGACCTCAAATTTCCCTGATCTGGAAGTCACATCGTTGATTGGCGCCAAATTTTGATGAAACTAATGGCTTTAAGAAATTCAATTTACCGAGCATTCATTTTGGAAGGGATTTTAGCCTTTTTTGAGTAGAACTTGTCAATTTCACTTTAATTTTCTCCAATCTGGAAGTCACATCGTTGATTAGGGCAAAAATTTCATGAAATTAATGCCTTTAAGAAATCGGTTCCCATTGACAAGAGTTGCTCAGCTTTTGACCCAAATTAGACTGATCTTTAAAAAAAAACTTTTGCAATTTTTGTCTCTTCTGGAGTGCAATTGGGGTTTTTAAACAATTTTCAACAATCTTTTCCATGTTTTTTTTTAGGAACACTCACCAGCGCTTTCAATGAAGATCAAAGTGCCGAAGAGAGCTTTTTCGATTGGCGGCGATCCGCTAGAGCGCATGCAAACACCACAATTTGACAAGGTTTTTTTTAAAAATAAATAATTTTAAAGTATAAAGGAGCTTAAAGGAACTTTAAGGAACCAAGGATCTAAAGGAATTAAAGGAGGAAATTAAAGGTATAAGGAACTTAAGAACTATGAAGGAAGTATGAAGAAAGTTGAAGGATATAAAGGAAGTATAGGACTATAGGACTTGAAGGAGTTGAAGGAAGTATGAAGGAAGTATAAGGAATTAGGATGAGGAACTTAGGCTTGAATTAAGAATTGAAGGAACTTAAGGAAGTTGAAGGAATTGGCTTAGGGTTGGGGTTGGGGTTGGATTGGATTGGGTTAGTTGAGGAATATAAAGGAAGTATGAAGGAAGTATGAAGGAACTATAAAGGAACTTTAAAGGATATTCCAATTTGAATAGTTTTTATACGAATCGATAGAGAAAGACTTGACGAATCGAATGATGCCAAAAATATCGAAATTGGATGGACCAAAGCCAAGAAATTTGAGCTTAAAGTTTGCTAATGGGAAAAGAATAAATAATTTTAAAGTATAAAGGAATTATAAAGGAAGTATAAAGGAAGTATAAAGGAAGTATCAAGGAACTATGAAGGAACTTTAAAGGAACCAAATAGAAACTATAAAGGAACTATAAAGGAACCCAAAGGAACTATAAAGAAACTATAACTTTAAATAGTTCCTTTATAGTTCTTTTATAGTTCCTTAATTAAATAAATAATAATAAAAAAAGAAAAAAGAAATTTATCTAGTTTTTTTTAAAAAATAGATTAATTTTAATCAAAAAAAATTCTGATTTTCTGTTTTTTTTTTCGATTTTTCGATTTTCTCATTAAGTTCTTTTGTTCTTTCAAAAAAAATCCCTCTTTTAAACCAAAAATCATTGAAATTCTACTGAATTCATTGAGGATTTTTAATCCTTTTTACTTTACAATCATCATTAGATTCAAAAATTTCTCTCCTAAACAACTTTTAGCTTTTCTCAATGCCACGAAAGAGTTCACAAACTTTTCTTGAGCTCAATTGCATTCTAGCTAGGATCGAGCATAGGATTTCCGAAAGCTGGATGTCACACAGCAATTTCCATCAAAATTTAGACTCATGTTGCGATGTTGAAAAAAACCCCGTCCTCAACTGGTACTGTCTTGTACATGACCGGGTTTTTCATTTGTGGAGTGGTGCTTTGTGCTTCCGGGGTCCTCGTCCTTATTCGGGTATGGAAAAAAAAAGAATTCTAGATTTTTACAAGATTAGTATTCTTTCTAATATCAACATTCATTTTTAACAAAAATTTTTTTGTTAATTTTTTTTGCTAACTTTTTTGTCATTTTTTTCTCGACTTTTGAACTTTCAAATAGGAAAATGTAGAACTTTTTAAAGATTTCTAAAGCTTTTAAAAGGTTTTTAAAGGTTTCTAAAGATTTTAAAAGCTTTTAAAAGCTTTCCAATATCTAAAAAGGCTTTATGATATCGAAAAGGAAAGGAAAATCGAGGAAAAACTCAAACGAAGAAAACTGATTTTTGAGCTCTTTAAAAATTTAGATTGTAGGGTTAAAATTTTAAAGAAACATTGAAAAATAGAAAGATAGGAAGAAGGAAGAAGGGATATAGGAAGGTAGGAAGATAGAAACATAGAATTAAAATTCTCATTTATATTGGGTTGATGCATAATTATCCGGACTTCTTTTATAAATGATTTTATTTAACAAAAAATAACATAAATAGTTAGAAAAATATGTTTAATTGATTATTCTGGAGCATATTCACCGCCTACATCAATAACTGATTGCCATTTGCTTGGAAGACGATCGATTCCACGAGCGAAGAATAAACGATCTTTGGAGGCAATCCACGCTTTAACATCGTCTATCAAGTCATCCAAATCGTTGTAGATCTTATTTGTTTGCCAATTTTTGAGCGATCGATTGACGTGGTAGTCCGTTGGGGCTTCTCCAGTTCTTTGAGATCGCGAAACGACTCTGCGGCAGACCATCCCTTTTCGAAGTGGTAGAGCATGATATGGCGAAGATGGATATGATTGTCGACACGCATTTTGTTCACTAAAGAATAACGAATATTTAAAAAAAAGAAATAGACAAAAAGCTTTCAAAACAAAAAAGATACAAGCACGCAAAAAGAAGTCCGGATAATTATGCATCAACCCAATAGAAACATAGAAACATAGAAACATAGAAACATAGAAAAGCTGGCTCTTTTATTAGAATGCTTTTGGATTTAGAGTGAAGTTAGTTTACAGCTAAACAGCTACACTAATTCTGGACTGGATCTCGACTAGTTCTGGACTAATTGCGATACCTATAGGCAGTTGTACCTATAGGCACTAATTCTGGACTAGTTCTGGACTAGTTCTCGACTAGTTCTGGACTAATTGCGATACCTATAGGCAGTTGTACCTATAGGCACTAATTCTGGACTAGTTCTGGACTAATTCTGGACTATTTTCTGGCAAAGTTTAGCGTCAATAGGTTTGTGCAAAAGCTCAATTCAAAGGAATCAATAGCATCTACACTTTTAAAGTCTCCTTGCTCAGCTGAATCTCTTCTGTTTTCTGGGGAAATTCAAAGCAAAAGATTAGCTAAGATCTACTCAGAAAAAGAGTCTTTATTCGGGTATTGAAAAAAAGAATTATAGATTTTTACAAGATTAGAATTCTTTCTAATATCAACATTCATTTTTAACGAAATTTTTTTGTTAACTCTTTTTTGTCATTTTTTTTCTCGACTTGTCAACTTTCAAATAAGAAAATAGAACTTTTTAAAAGATTTCTAAAGCTTTTAAAAGATTTCTAAAGCTTCTAGAAGATTTCTAAAGCTTCTAGAAGATTTCTAAAGCTTCTAGAAGATTTCTAAACCTTTTAAAAGATTTCTAAAGCTTTTAAAAGATTTCTAAAGCTTCTAGAAGATTTCTAAAGCTTCTAGAAGATTTCTAAAGCTTTTAAAAGCTTTCCAATATCTAAAAAAGCTTTATGAGATCGAAAAGGCAACGAAAATCGAAGAAAACTCAATGATCAAAGATTTCTAAAGCTTTTAAAGCTTTTAAAGCTTTAAATTATAAGCTTTAAAGCTTTTAAAAGCTTTCCAACCACTATAAACTAAAAAAAAAGCTTTAAATTGATAAAAGTTTAATTATAAAAGCTATATTATAATTAAATAAAACAAATTTTTAGCAAATGGAGACCCCGTTCGTAATCGCTGGTTGCTCTTTTCTTGGTGTTGGCCTTTTAATGTTGCTAGTTTGCGCAATATTGCAATGGAAGAACGTGAAGAAGCTCGTGAGTTAAAAGCTCAATTCTAACACTAGGCGCATTGAATCTAACTTTTAACATCAACCATTAACTTGTCGAAAAACCTTAGGCTGACAGAAGCCCCTTTCTCATTAGGATTAACTTTAAGCTCAAATTTCTTTATGTAGAGTTGTCCAATTTCAAATTTCTTAACACCATTAAATTCTCCAACTCTTTCTCTATCGATTAGTATAAAAATTATTGAAATTGGATGAGCCAATCACGAGAAATTTGAGCTTAAAGTTAGATGAGAAAAGGGGCGGGGCCTTGCGTATAAAAGGTCCCACAATCAGGTTTAAGCGCGAATTTTGTTTGCTAAACAAATCTAGGCAAAGATCCAAGCAATTCTCATCAGAAAGGGGCGGGGTCTAGCGTCTAAAAGGTCCGACAATCGCCCCGCCCCTTTTGTCATTAGCAATCTAACTTTAAGCTCAAATTTCTCAGAGTTGAGACATCGAATTTCAATAATTTTTATAACAATCGATAGAGAAAGTCTTGGGGAATCTAATGGTACAAAGAAAATTTCAATTGAACAGCTCAACACCGAGAAATTTAAGTTCAAAGTTAGATTGCGAATGGTGAAGGGGCGGGGCCTTGCGTATGAAAGGTCGCCTTGCCCCGCGCCTTTTCCCGTCGCTGTCTTCATCGCTGTGCCAACGTCGCTGTCTTCAGCTTAAAGTTAATCCTAATGGGAAAAGGGCGGCGCTGAACAAACAAATAAAACCATGCTCAACTCTGACTAAAAATCAAGGCTGAGCTAGCTCTTTACAAGAAATATTTAATTCTAAACGCTTTCCATTCTTAGATCATCGACATGAACGCTCATTTGACGGGGATGTCAACTCGAGAACAAATCTGGAAAACGATGTTCGAGATGCCGTCTGAATTGCCGCAAATGTCACGGCAATGATCTTCAAAAGCTCGATTTTCGAATTTTCTATTTGATTACTGTATCTGAGTACTGTATTCGCTTTTAAATTTTCAAAAATCAGTACTACTTTCTCCTCATATCTCAAAATTCATTGAATATTCAATTTTTCCTTTTTCCTCCCTCAATTTCTGCCTTTTCCAAACGATTTTCCATTTAGCTACGGGTCTTTACAAAGTACGGATTTTGATTTGGTTTGATTTTGATTGATTGATTTGATTGATTGATTTGATTGATTGATTTGATTTGATTGATTGATTGATTGGTTGATTGATTGGTTGATTGATTGGTTGATTGATTGGTTGGTTGATTGATTGAATTGATTGATTTGATTTGATTGATTTGATTTGATTGATTGATTTGATTGATTGATTTGATTGAATTGATTGATTGATTGATTTGATTGATTGATTTGATTGAATTGATTGATTGATTTGATTGATTGATTTGATTGATTGATTTGATTGAATTGATTGATTGATTTGATTGATTGATTGATTTGATTGATTGATTTGATTGAATTGATTGATTGATTTGATTGATTGATTTGATTGAATTGATTGATTGATTTGATTGATTGATTTGATTGATTGATTTGATTTGATTGATTGATTGATTGGTTGATTGATTGGTTGATTGATTGGTTGATTGATTGGTTGGTTGATTGATTGAATTGATTGATTTGATTTGATTGATTTGATTTGATTGATTGATTTGATTGATTGATTTGATTGAATTGATTGATTGATTTGATTTGATTGATTGGTTGGTTGATTGATTGAATTGATTGATTGAATTGATTGATTTGATTTGATTGATTTGATTTGATTGATTGAATTGATTGATTTGATTGATTGATTTGATTGATTGATTGATTTGATTGATTGAATTGATTGATTTGATTTGATTGATTGAATTGATTGATTGATTTGATTTAATTCAATTCTATTTGATTTGTAGAAACTTTTAAAAGAAGTTTTATTTGATAAAAAACGAAAAAAGCACCCGATTTATCATTGGAGAAAAGAAAAAAGCAAAAAAAAAGACAAAAAGAAAAAAAAGGGGAGTGGGACAAATGCGACCTTTTTTTTGCGCACCTGGACATTTGCGCACCTTTTTTCTTGCTGGCAAAGGCCTTAGGAAAGGTCGTAGAGCTTCGAAAATGTTTCCATACTAGGGAATCGTATGCGTAGCTTCCGAATTTCGACAAATCAAAGCAAATCAGACCTCGCTGACACGTTAAATTTGAGCTAAAAAGCAAGAACTACGCAACTTAACGCTTTTCCGCAGTTTTCGCCTTTTAGCCCAAATTTGACGTGTCAGCGAGGTGTGATTTGTCGAAATTCGGAATCTACGCATACGATTCCCTTGTATGGAAACATTTTTGAAGCTCTACGACCTTTCCTAAGGCCTTTTCAAGCAAAAAAAAAAGGTGCGCAAGTGTCCAGGTGCGCAAAAAAAGGTAGCATTTGTCCCAGCCCCGAAAAAAAGACAAAAAAAAAGACAAAAAGACAAAAAGACAAAAAAATAGACAAAGATTCAATCACAAAGAACAATAATTAAAATTTTCTTACGTCAAGCAAGTCTTTTAAACGATTCAAAAAGCAAAAATCCTTTTTTGGCACACGAAAAAATTCAAAGAATAATTTAGAAAAAAAAGAAATTTTCAAAAAAAAAAAAACAATTTTTTAAGGAAATTTTCAAGAAAAAACCCTTCAGCTCAAATGAAAATTTTAAATTTTAACGAAACTTTACAAAACTTTCTGCGAACTTTACAAAGCCACCCTTGAATAGCGTGAGCTCCAGCTTGGATGATCGTTTTGTTGAAATTTGAAATTTGAAATTTGTAAAAGAGATTTTTACCCAAAATTTTGACTCTAATGAGCTCCGGTTTGAATGAGATTTTTGTTGGATTTGATGAAATCACTTTTTTTTGGAAAATTTGGATTGCGTGAGCTCCAGCTTGAATGGGAAATTTGTCTTGACATTTTGAAAAACGGGATTTTTATGGAAAAATTTCGGCGAACAAGCTCCGGGTCAAATGGGAATTTCATTGGGATTTGATCAAATCACTTTTTTCTGGAAAATTTGGATAACGTGAGCTCCAGCTTGAATGAGAAATTTGTTTTGAAATTCGGAAAAAGAAATTTTTATAGAAAAATTTCGGCGAACAAAATTCAAAAGAGATTTTCATTGGGATTTGATGAAATGACTTTTTTTATGTAAAATTTTGATAGAGTGACCTCCAGCTTAAGCAAAAGTTCGCAAAGTTCGCAAAGTTTTTCGCAAACTTTTCGGGAAACGCTTTCGATGGGATTTTTTAAGAAGGATGAGATTCGGGTTGACGAAAATCTCGAAATTCTCGAAATTTCTTTAAACATTCTTCAAAAATGTGCTTTCCTGAAACCCCGTAAATTATTGGATTCATGATTGGATTTATGGAAATGAGAGCATTCAAAAATTGAAATTGTGGAAAATAGAAGAGACCAAAAATGTGAGCAATTGATAAAACGTTATACGGAGACCAGCAAACGATGTAGGCGAGAAGGATGAGAGCTGCTTGGCGCTTGGCTTCCTAGAAATGTTAGGATTAGGCTTGTACGGTGGGTAAAAGAGCCGAATTTTCAATCTAGAGCTTTTTCTGAGTGTCACGAAAGAGTTGACAAGCTTTTCTTTGACTCATTTGCAGTACGGCTAATTTTAGCATAGAATTTCTTGAAGCTGGATGTCACAGAACAATTTGCATCAAAATTTACACCCATCTGGCGTTGAAAAAAGCGGTTCCTCGACCCGTTCGAGTTCTCGAGCATTTCTCGAGTTTTTTCAAAGAAATTAAGAAAACAATGAGATTATTTGCTGATTCTGGAATGCACGCTAGCTATAGAACGGGAAATTTTTTGATTTTTTTCAATTTCAATTTTTAGAATCAAAGCTTCATCTTGGTGTTGATCATTTTTGAAGATCAAGAATTAATGAATTTTATTTAGCTTCTAGTTTCAGACTCTTTTCAGCCACCTCACCTTTCTCGCTTTTGTAATCTTTCCGATGGCGAATGGCGAAACGGGTACTCGTTGGGGTTTCTTCGCCTTTTTCGGCGGCCTCAGGAAATCCTCCGAGTTTTGCGAGATCTCGCCACCGTCACTGAAAAATTGAGAATGATTTGAGCAAACTGGATGTCACAGGGAACTTTGGCTTCCAAATTTTGTCTCTGACTCAATAAATTAACAATTCTTGAATCGGAATCGAATACCGACCGTAAAAGTTCAGTTCTAGCCTACTCTATGAAAATTGGTTAGCACGAGTCTTCGATCTGGATAGCACACCGTAATTTAAACCGAAAATAGTCACCACTAGTCGTTAAATTTCTTTAAGCTAAATAGCATTTCTATCGGATTTTTCTGGGAGTACCTTTTTTAGATGTGGAAAATTGTGCTGATTCCGAATCTGAAGGAATTTTTCAAATCCCCTTGACAGAAATTTTTAAAATTGAGTTTTAGCAGTTTTTTGGTCATTTTGTATGGGAAATTTTGTGGTACCCTGCAGTTTGGAGCTCGTAACTCGACAACGAGGGTCTAGAACGAAAAACGAAGGGATAATTTTTATTCTAAAGGCTCTTACGAACATTTTGATGCAAAAATCATCAAATTTGCTCAACTCTACAAAAAGTTATAACATTTTTTAAAGAAATATTGCAAAATACACTAAAAACATAAGGGGAAAGCGTGGCCGAGTGGTCTAAGGCGCGCGACATGAATCCCGCGTAAAAGTATGGGGTTGTTGGTTCGACTCTCCCGCACACTTGAGCTATTATTTTGCATATTCCTTAATTGTTTTGAGTGAATACGATACATAGCTATTGGGTTGATGCATAATTATCCGGACTTCTTTTATAAATGATTTTATTTAACAAAAAATAACATAAATAGTTAGAAAAATATGTTTAATTGATTATTCTGGAGCATATTCACCGCCTACATCAATAACTGATTGCCATTTGCTTGGAAGACGATCGATTCCACGAGCGAAGAATAAACGATCTTTGGAGGCAATCCACGCTTTAACATCGTCTATCAAGTCATCCAAATCGTTGTAGATCTTATTTGTTTGCCAATTTTTGAGCGATCGATTGACGTGGTAGTCCGTTGGGGCTTCTCCAGTTCTTTGAGATCGCGAAACGACTCTGCGGCAGACCATCCCTTTTCGAAGTGGTAGAGCATGATATGGCGAAGATGGATATGATTGTCGACACGCATTTTGTTCACTAAAGAATAACGAATATTTAAAAAAAAGAAATAGACAAAAAAGCTTTCAAAACAAAAAAAGATACAAGCACGCAAAAAGAAGTCCGGATAATTATGCATCAACCCAATACATTGTTCTTTCGAACAAAACAATTGTGCAATCGAGAATTTATTAAATTTGCTCATTTGTTTTTTAAAAAATGTTATAACTTTTTGTAGAGTTGAGCAAATTTGATGATTTTTGCATCAAAATGTTCGCAAGAGCCTTTAGAATAAAAATTATCCCTTCGTTTTTCGTTCTAGACCCTCGTTGTCGAGTTACGAGCTCCAAACTGCAGGGTACCACAAAATTTCCCATACAAAATGACCAAAAAACTGCTAAAACTCAATTTTAAAAATTTCTGTCAAGGGGATTTGAAAAATTCCTTCAGATTCGGAATCAGCACAATTTTCCACATCTAAAAAAGGTACTCCCAGAAAAATTCGATAGAAAACGCATTTTCGCGCCGATGTGCACCGTAACCTAAGCCTAAAAAAGTCGGCCCTTATCATGAGATTTCCTTAAGCTAAATAGCATACCGTCATCTGAGCGTAAAAGTTCAGTTCTAGCCTACTCTATGAAAATTGGTTAGCACGAGTCTTCGATCTGGATAGCACACCGTAATTTAAACCGAAAATAGTCAGCCCTAGTCGTTAAATTTCTTTAGGCTAAATAGCATACCGTAACCTAGACTCAAGGTTTTGATTCTAGCTTGCAATAGAAAATCGGCTAGCAAAATACTTCGATCTGGATAGCGCACCGTAATTTGAACTGAAAAAAGTTAGCCCTAGTCGTTAAATTTCTTTAGGCTAATTAGCATACCGTAATCTGACCGTAAAATCTCCGTTTCAGCCTACTTTATGAAAATTGACTAGCAAAATTCTTCGATCTGGATATCACACCGTAATCTAAACCTAAAATAGTCAGCCATTATCATGAAATTTCTTTAAGCTAAATAGCATACCGTAATCTGAGCGTAAAATTTCAGTTCTAGCCTACTTTATGAAAATTGACTAGCAAAATGCTTCGATCTGGATAGCACACCGTAATTTAAACCGAAAATAGTCACCACTAGTCGTTAAATTTCTTTAAGCTAAATAGCATACCGTAATCTGACCGTAAAATCTCGATTCTAGCCTACTTTATGAAAATTGACTAGCAAAATTCTTCGATCTGGATATCACCCAGTAACCTAACGCCAAAATCCACTCACCATTTGTGATTAAGCATCAACGAGTGATCATCAGCGACGATAAACGGTGAGGAGACTCTTCTCGATGATTGATCGTACTGTCTCTCACTTCTCTCCGTGTGCAACGCACTCTGTGGACTCACGGCTCTTTCTAGATGCCCGGGCGGCGTATTCGAATTCCTTCGAATCGATTGCGCATCGTGCATGACGAAAGTGGTTCCCGTGACTGAAATTCGTTACTCAAATGTCAAATTTGAATAAACGGGGAACAGGGTTGGATGGATGATATAGAAATATTCATTTGAATAGTAAATCTGATTCAGTTATCCAGTCAGAAAGTAGGCTGAGAGCAAGCTAAAGTCTACCGTAAGCCAGCTAACGTCTACTCTATTCAGCTCATTGAAATCCTCACTCTAAACTCTTCAACTTCTGGTTAATGAAAAGTTATCTAAACTGTTTATCTAAAACTATCTAATTCTTGAATTCGAATTTGAGCTGGAACTGGAAATCAGATCTCAGAATTGGATATCAAATATCAGACTTTATTCATCCAAACAGCCCTGACTAGCTCGATTTTGAGGAGAGGAGATCAATGGGAGAAGTTCAGGCTGTGGAAATCCTGTTGAGTGACTTTTGAGGTGCTATAGGGCGAATATTTTTGATTATTTTAACGACAAACGACACTTTTAGGCTCAAGACAAGGACATTTCGACTAGACAAATGAACTAGACGTTGAAACGAAACGAATAGCTCGAGGCTCCGGCAACATGTATCTAAGCCCAAGCCTGAGCCTAAGCCTAAGCCTAAGCCCAAGCCCAAGCCCAAGCCTGAGCCTGAGCCTAAGCCTAAGCCCAAGCCCAAGCCCAAGCCTAAGCCTGAGCCTGAGCCTAAGCCTAAGCCCAAGCCTGAGCCCAAGCCCAAGCCCAAGCCCAAGCCTAAGCCTAAGCCTTTATAAGCTCGCATTTCGAGTAGATTTCCCGAGTAGACACCCAAGCTTTGGACACGTTTTTCTCGCCTGCTTTTGAATATGGACAAAAGCTGAATGAAGCATCGGATTCCCGGTGTTCGATCGGCCGACTAGGCCGACAATCTAACTGCCGATCGGCCGGCAATCTAACTTTAAGCCGAAATTTAAGCTTAAAGTTAGATTGTTAATTTTTAATGCAAAAACGGTTTTAAAGAAGCTTTTGTGCACAACGATTAGCCAAGCAACAATGAGAACAAAAATCGAGTTTGCAAAGTTTGCGGAATCGTTGAGATTCCGCAAATCAATGAGATTCTCGAAGTTTTCCCAAAATCGCATTCAAAAAAAATGGAGACAGCTGAAGAAGTCAAATAACAAAAAATTATTTCACCTTTTCCTGTGCTTTGGTGCCAAAATGCCAAAAACAAAAAAAACTGAATTATTCACCTCGATATTTTGACAATCGGGGTGCTTTGAAGGCTAAAAACGAAAGAAATGGGTTGTGCTAGAGATGAGAATTGAGATCAACGAAAATTCACGAGATCTAGATGAGAACCAAAGGTCCTGTTTCGAGATCCGGCCGATCTGGAGGTCACACTCACCTTTGCTGTGATCGTCCTCGGACGTGTAGTGCTTCCGTGTCAACACCAGCAGTGACGTCATCTGACTGTGCCCATTGACTGTGCCCGTTTCTAAAGATTCTCATTTTTTTTTTAATTTTTTAAATTTTCTTTCAATCTGGAAGTCACAATGTCTAAAAAGTTTAAAATTAAACAAATTTTTCAAATTTTTATTGACCCGATTATGGGGAAACGGGTTTTGGCAGAGAATTTGCATTTAACAATTATTAAATTTTGAAATTTTTGAATTTTCTTTCAATCTGGAAGTCATGCTGTTCAAAAAAGTCTAAAATAAGTTAATTTTTCGAATTTTTTGCAATTCGCTTTTTGTGGAACGAGTTTGTCAAGAAAATTAGCATTTAATCGCTATAATATTTATAATTTTTGAATTTTCTTTCAATCTGGAAGTCATGTTGTCCAGAAAATTCAAAATTAGGTCACTTTTTCGAATTTTATCCAATTCGGTTTTTGTGAAACGAGATAGTCGAGAAAATTTGCATTTAACAATCATTCAATTTCTCAATCTTTCAATTTTCTTTCAATCTGGAACTCATGCTGTTCAAAAAAGTCTAAATTAAGTTAATTTTTCAAATTTTATGCAATTCGGGTTTTGTGAAACGAGTTTGTCGAGAAAATTTGCATTTAATCAACGATAAATTTTAAAAGGCCCACTTTTTCTTTCGATCTGGAATGCACTTTATTTGAAAGCCCCCAAATTAAGGAGATTTCTGAAATGACTCAAAATGTGATTTCTGAAATGGTGCCTCAAATCACAATTCAAAATTCGCTCTCATGAAATCAAGATTCCGAATTTTTCCCGGTATCTGGAGCGCATCCAACCGGAAATTCAATGAAAGTGCCGGGGATTTGATCAGATTTTCTAAATCTTTCGAAAGTTGAATGAAACGCGCAGGAAAACGACGAAAATAGACATGGAAAAATCGCAATTTCGGGTTGGGAAGGCAAACGAATAGTCGATTTCGTTATAATGCTTCAGATTTTCGTCTAGTACAGTAATCTAGTAACGTCTACCTTTGACAATAAGCTGGTAGTGATGCTGAGCCTGGAATCTAAGGTAAGCCCGACCGTATCCCACCTCTAATCTAGTCTGAGCTACAGGAAAGCAGAGCTCGCTTACTTTACCCTGGGGGTTAACTGATTCTTCAAGCTGGATGTCACACCGTGGCTTGACATCGAATTTGAAGCTATAATATGAAAATCGGCTAGCACTATTCTTCAAGCTGGATAGCACACCGTAGCTTGACCGGGTTTCAGGCTATAATATGAAAATTGGTTAGCACTATTCTTCAAGTTGGATAGCACACCGTAGTCTGACCGGGTTCTAGGCTTCAAAATGAAAATTCGTCTGGGACTACCGTCACCTGATCTACAGTATCTTTGTCTATTTCCTGTTCTTCTGTACTCTAAACCCTAGACCCTAGACCCTTCCGTGCCCTCAGATTACAGTGCTGGATGCATTCTACTGTACTCCAGAATCCCACCCAGCACTGTAATCTTTCAATGATTCCTCAACTCACCCTTGATGATCCCTTTCAAAATAAACAATAGTGTCGTGTAGGAGAAAATGATGAGCATTGTGGGGAGAACGAAGCTGAAGGTCAGATGAGCGATCGTGTACCATTTTTCGTAAGCAATCACCTCAGTCAACTGTTGATCCACCTAGAAAAATGCAAAAGTTTTTGTGTTCCAAAAGAAAAAAGATTAAGAGTCAAGCCTAAGCCTAAGCCTGAGCCTGAGCCTGAGCTGAGCCTAATCCTAACCCTGAGCCTGGGCTGAGCCTGAGCCTGAGCTGAGCCTAATCCTAACCCTGAGCCTGGGCTGAGCCTGAACCTGAGCTGAGCCTAATCCTAACCCTGAGCCTGGGCTGAGCCTGAGCCTGAGCTGAGCCTAATCCTAACCCTGAGCCTGGGCTGAGCCTGAGCCTGAGCTGAGCCTAATCCTAACCCTGAGCCTGGGCTGAGCCTGAGCTGAGCCTAATCCTAAGCCTGAGCCTGAGCTGAGCCTAATCCTAAGCCTGAGCCTGGGCTGAGCCTGAGCCTGAGCTGAGCCTAATCCTAACCCTGAGCCTGGGCCGAGCCTGAGCCTGATCTGAGCCTAATCCTAACCCTGAGCCTGGGCCGAGCCTGAGCCTGAGCTGAGCCTAATCCTAACCCTGAGCCTGGGCTGAGCCTGAGCCTGAGCTGAGCCTAATCCTAACCCTGAGCCTGGGCTGAGCCTGAGCCTGAGCTGAGCCTAATCCTAACCCTGAGCCTGGGCTGAGCCTGAGCCTGAGCTGAGCCTAATCCTAACCCTGAGCCTGGGCTGAGCCTGAGCCTGAGCTGAGCCTAATCCTAACCCTGAGCCTGGGCTGAGCCTGAGCCTGAGCTGAGCCTAATCCTAACCCTGAGCCTGGGCTGAGCCTGAGTCTGAGCTGAGTCTAATCCTAACCCTGAGCCTGGGCTGAGCCTGAGTCTGAGCTGAGTCTAAGCCTAAGCCTTCAGCCACCTAGAAAAATGCAAAAGCTTCTGTGTTCCAAAAGAAAAAAAGCTCAAAAGTCAAGCCTAAGCCTAAGCCTGAAAAATTTTTAGAGAACTAGCTGAGAAATGTGTAATTGCTTTCAAGAGGGAAGTGCTAGATAAAACGCGTCCCTCCTACCGTATCCCCGTTCGAGTTCACAATCATTTCTCGAGTCTTTTCAAAGAAATTTTTCAAATGATGATATTATTTGTTAATCCTGGAGTGCACAAAAACTAGAAAACGGGAAATTTTTTTGAGAATTTCATTTCTTCGAATCAATCAAAGGAATTTTAAAAACGCATTTCCTGTCTTAAAAATCTCCGTGAAATTCAAAGATTTCCCCAAAAAAAACGAACCCGATTCTTCTCGGCAACCGAAACATTTGGATGTTCGAAGATTTGATTCGAATCGTATTTGGCTTTCATCCAAAACGTCGCGCATTGCTTCGAAGGACTGAAAAATTGCATCCTTTATGTAAGCTTGAAAAAATTTGTGTAAAATCGTGAAAATAATCAATCCAGGGTGGATCCTGGAAGGCACTAGACAGCTAGAAAAATTTTCAGATCAAAAGCTGCAAGTTCGCTTTTGACCGAGTGGCTAGCGAGCTGGGCTGGCAGTCACACGACCCGGGTTCGATCCCGGTCGTGAACTTTTTCAACCAGTCGATTTGGAAAATTGATTTTTAGGTGTAGAAAGGCTTAGGAAGGCTTAGGAAGGCTTAGGAAGGCTTAGAAAGGATTAGGAAGGCTTAGGAAGGATTAGGAAGGCTTAGGAAGGATTAGGAAGGCTTAGGAAGGATTAGAAAGGCTTAGGAAGGCTTAGGAAGGATTAGAAAGGCTTAGGCTTAGTTCAGTTCTCCAGTTCAACCCAGATCCAAATCCTGACTGATCCAAGCTAGCTCTAGATTCGAGCCATGAGCCAGCCAGTGCCGAAATTCACTTACACTGCCTCGCTCGGATCATCCAACTCATACAGCTTGAAGATGAGCGTTTGGGGGAGCGCCAAAATCGTTGCCATCACCCAAGCAGCGATCAACAATTGAGAGACACGGGTGAAAGCTTTTCGAGAGGCCGAGACCGAGCTGAAATGGCCATATTGACTCTAGCTTCTGTATGCCTTTAGTTTTAGATTCAAGGCTTCTAAACGGTTACTTTTAATCCAGACTTCTAGTCCTCTAGTCTGGGCAGACTGGGCAGACTGAGCAGACTGGTCCAAGCCATTTCTTGTACTTTTGAGTTACGAGACTAGAGTTTCGCCATCGAAACGATTTTGAGGCAAAATTTTCTTATTCTTTAGTGAAAAGGTTTAATTTTTATAAAAAATTTACTCAAATTGGAGGTCATTGAAGCGAATTAGGCAAAAATTAGGCAAATTGGACGAAAAAGTTGACCTAAAGCTGACCTAAAGCTGACCTAAAGCTGACCTAAAGCTGACCTAAAGCTGACCTAAAGCTGACCTAAAGCTGACCTAAAGCTGACCTAAAAGCTGACCTAAAGCTGACCTAAAGCTGACCTAAAGCTGACCTAAAGCTGACCTAAAGCTGACCTAAAGCTGACCTAAAGCTGACCTAAAGCTGACCTAAAGCTGACCTAAAAGCTGACCTAAAGCTGACCTAAAGCTGACCTAAAGCTGACCTAAAGCTGACCTAAAGCTGACCTAAAGCTGACCTAAAGCTGACCTAAAGCTGACCTAAAGCTGACCTAAAGCTGACCTAAAGCTGACCTAAAGCTGACCTAAAGCTGACCTAATCAAGACCTGACCAGAGTCACGAGCTTTCTGGTAGAATGGATGCTTTAAAATTTAGTTCTTTCTTGTTTTTAGCTTTCTATTAGGCAACTGAAAATACTTTATATGCCATGCGCCAAAAAGTCGATCGATCGCGATGCACGCGATGACGAATGAGTGCAAATAGAAGCAGAAAGTCGAGATGAACGAGAAGAGACGGCAAAGGAGATCACCGCCATACCACTGAAATTGAAGAAATGAAGAAATGTTTAAAATACTCACATCTACTGTGCCCTCCAGATTCACCAAAAAAAAAAGACTCACCGCAAACGTGATCAGCCAAATGATTTGCTTGGGAATGTAGATGAAAAGGGTGATCAAATCCGCGATGTTCAAGTGCAATCGCAACAATAAAAGAGCTGATGGATGCTAAAAATTAGCGATGACATCCAGGATTTACAAAAATCAACTTTGTTTCCTAAATGGTCACCCTTTTTCAAAAGAATTTAGTAGTCAAGAGAATTACGGTAGCAGTCAAGCGAATTTTGGTCTTTTTTCGAAACAAATATGCTTAAAATATGCTGTGACATCCAGGATTTACAAAAATCAACTTTGTTTCCAAAATGGTGACCCTTTTTCAATAGAATTTTGCAGCCAAGCAAATTACGGTAGCAGTCAAGCGAATTTTGGTCTTTTTTCGAAACAAATATGCTTAAAATATGCTGTGACATCCAGGATTAGGGAAAATCTTTTAAATTTCACGAATTTCTCAGCGTTGAACCAACTTTTAGCGTCCTTCTCGCGCGCAACAGTTTGAAAATCGACATCACGTTGAGGGGACCGCCCACGAAAAACGCCACAAAGTACAGGGTGATCTCGATCTGGAAATGGAAAATGATTGCTTAAAATTAGAAAATCGATTCCGGAATCTTACTGTACCCGTCTGGCGTCGGGCATAGCTAAAAAACCGGCCAGCGAAACTTGTAATTTCTGGCTTAGCTAAATCTTAGACTGTCGATGCCAACAAACTTTTCAATACTTCCTTTGACAACTATGGATGTCACTACACCTAAAAATCAATTTTTCAAAGCGATTAGTTGAAAAAGTTCTCGACCGGAATCGAACCCGGGTCGTGTGACTGCCAGCCCAGCTCACTAGCCGCTCGGCCAAAAGCGAACTTGCAGCTTTCGATCTGAAAATTTTTCCAACTGCTTAGTGCCTTCCAGGATCCACTCTGGATTGATTATTTTCACGATTTGTCCATTTTTACATATCAGATCGAGGCTGATCTCGCGAAAGTCGCTTATCCCTGTTTCTATGATCTAGCTAAGCCAAGACAAGTTACAAATTTGGCTAGCTAGCTGATAGAAAAGCTCTTTTTGCAAGGCTAGACATAGAAAAGCGGATTTTTAAAAGTTTTTTTCAATTTCGGTTTAATTACCCAATATTTGTGAAGGCCTGGAAAGGGGGAAAAACCAAATTCCCCAAAATCATTTTTTCAAGATTTGCTTCTTTAAAATCTTTGACGTGCCTTCCAGAAAGATTGATTTTGCATTTGAAATCAAAATCCAGTTCAATTTTCTAAGCCTTTTTGCTTTAAACACTCAACTCTAGAAAAGCCATCATTACAAAGGCGTCAAAGCTGACTCAGCTTTTTCTAGTGAATTGTGTGACCTCCAGATCGACTAAAAAACCATGTGCTTTTTGGGAGAAGTTGAATTCAGCTTCAAAATTGAGGCCCGGTTCAATTACGCAATCCGAAATAGTCTACTATAAAAGGCGTCTGACTCAGCTTTTTCTAATGAATGGTGTGATCTCCAGATCGACTAAAAAACTATGTATCTTTCAAGATAAGTTAGATTTAGCTTCAAAATTGAGGCCCGGCTTAGTTACCCACTTGAAAATGAAGTAATAATAGAAATCAAGTCAAGGTAAAGTAAGGTCAGACAAAAAATTCTGTGCGTTGAAGCTCTTCCTTTCCATTTTTGAATCCTGCTCTTTCTTTTAACTCTGAAACTTACCCAGAATCCAATCGGGTATTGCGCCGTCTCTCCCGCAATTCCATCAGCTCCATTCACTTCGATCGAATGCTGACAAACTTCGGAGAAATTCCCGCGACAATCATAGTCCATCACAGAGGATACTGTAATAATGGACAAGATTTAGGGCAGATTTAGGGCACAATTGAGGCAAGAAAGAGCTTGAAATGATCGAGATCGAATAAGAATCGAGTTCGACAAGAAAAATCAGCTTTAAGATGAGAAATTAAATAAAAAAATGGTTTTTTCCTTTAATCTGGAGGTCATTCTAAAAAATAAAATCAGAAAACGATTCAAAACACATTTTAAAAAATCACAAATGATTTGGGTACGGTAGTTGGAGCACACTTTAGAAAACGAAAGACCACAGGCGTCTGGGCTCAATTTAAAAGCTAAAACGCACATGATACGGTATTTGGAGCGCATTTTAAAAAACAGGCAATGTATTTTTGCAAACAAGGCTTTGAAACAAGGCTTCTAGGTTTTGTTAAAGCGTGACCTAGCTACCGTAACCCATAGAAAGCAAATGTTTTACTCTTGAGATATAATGAAATGTAAAGCTACAAAATCGTGCTGTGACTTCCAGGAAACCCAAATTTGGTTTGATCGAGCCGAAAAGATTGTCGTTTCCCTTGGAAAATCTGCCAAAAAATTTTTCCCACAATTTGTCGACTGGGTATGTAAAAATGATAAAAATAATCAATCCAGGGTGGATCCTGGAAGGCACTAGGCAGCTAGAAAAATTTTCAGATCGAAAGCTCTAAGTTTACTTTTGGCCGAGTGGTTAGCGAGCTAAGCTGGCAGTCACACGACCCGGGTTCGATCCTGGTCGTGAACTTTTTCAGTCAATCTATTTTTTAAATTGTTTTTTAGCTGTAGTGACATCCATAGTTGCCGAAATGACTAGTGACAAAAAAAAATTTGCGCTGAAAATTGGGATAAACGGCTTTCCCGAGATCAGCCTCGATCTGGTATGTAAAAATAAACAAATCGTGAAAATAATCAATCCAGAGTGAAATCTAAAGCTACAAAATCGTGCTGTGACTCCCAGGAAACCCAAATTTGGTTTGATCGATCCGAAAAAATTGTCGTTTTCCTTGGAGAAAGCGTTGAATGGAAAATCTGCCAAGAAAATCAGCCAAAAAATTTTTCCCACAATTTGTCGACTTTTTTTTTGGGAAAACAATTAGCACGACTCCCAGGGGGAATGAATCAAACTCCATTTTTGGAAAATTTTTCTGTCTTTTCACACAAAAATCCCGCTAATTCATTTAATTGACCAAAAATTGTCATGAGATCGGTCGAAATAAACGAAAAATTTCAGAAAAAAGAAGGAAATCGAGAAATTATGAATTTTACAAAAGAAAGTCTTAAAGTTTCTGAAAGTTTGACTCATTTTTGAAGCGAGATTTGAGAGATTTTTTGAAAAAATGCTCAATTTCGGCCAGAGAAACGAGATTGAGGGAAAATTTAGCCATTTTTAGTGAAAAAACAAAAGTTTTTTGTCAATTTTGCTCAAACTGGAGCGCATTGAAGCTAATTAAGCAAAAATTGAACGGAAAAGTTGAAAAAGCGAAATAAAGTCGTAAAATGATTGGCTCCGAGAGGTGTTCGGTGGCTCAAAAACGGAATGAAAGCGAAATTCGAAATAAAAACGACTGAAAATAGCCATTATGGTACGCACAGGGAAGGGCAAAACACAAAATTTTTGTGATTTTTGAGATTTCGAAAATTTTTCAATTTTGGAGAAATTGACACGCGAGGTTTTTTTGAAAAAATGTTTTAAAAAGCAAGATTTTAAAGCTTTTGAAGAAAAATTTTGGTTAAATGCCTTCCAGAATAGTGAAATTTAAGTAAATAACAGAAATTTTCTTAAAAGAACGCTCAGAAACAGGAAGAGGCGGCTTTTGAGGGATTAGCTTCGACTGGGTATATAAAAATAATAAAAATAATCAATCCAGGGTGGATCCTGGAAGGCACTAGGAAGCTAGACAAAATTTTCAGATCAAAAGCTTCAAGTTCACTTTTGGCCGAGTGGTTAGCGAGCTGGGCTGGCAGTCACACGACCCGGGTTCGATTCCGGTCGCGAACTTTTTTAACTAATCGCTTTGAAAAATTGATTTTAAAGTGTAGTGACATCCATAATTGTCAAAATGACTAGTGAGAAAAAAATTGAGCACTGAAAATTGGGTGAAAAGCGGGATGAACTATCTCGAATGGGGGATTAGTGCTTGGCGGGCACCGGAAATTGTAATCCCATTTCTTTCATCCACTTTTCTTTCGCTTTACCCTTTCAGCGGCTTTCTCTTTTTTTGTTTTCTGCGCGGACGGAAAAAAGCGAGTAACTGAATGGATAAAGGGGGAATATCGAAAAACAAAAGATATTCATATAGGGAATTTTGAAAAGTCTGATTACGTAGTTGACTCATCGGCTGTTGTGCATTCCAGAATACAAGGTTTTTCAATTTTTGAACTTTTTCAATAATATTTTCGTGTTTCTGCCATTGTTCAAGTCAAGGCCCAATATAGAAAACGTTAAAAATTACTTTTCTGGTATTTCACTCGATTCAAACGCTAAAGTGACATCCAGATTAAAAGAAAATAATAAAAATAGCTTTGTAGAGTACGGGATTTTTTAAAAATTTATCTTCACTAAAAACCGAGCATGATTAGATTCGAAAAAAGGTTCAGATCGTGGAAATAATCTAGCCAGAGTGGATCCTGGAAGGCACTAGGCAGTTGGAAAAATTTTGAAATCCAAAGCTGCAAGTTTGCTTTTGGCCGAGCGGCTAGTGAGCTGGGCTGGCAGTCACACGACCCGGGTTCGATCCCGGTCGTGGACTTCTTGAACCAATCGATTTGGAAAATTGATTTTTAGGTGTAGTGACATCCATAGTTGTCAAAGGAAGTATTGAAAAGTTTGTTGGCATCGACAGTCTAAGATTTAGCTAAGCCAGAAATTACAATCATTGCCAAAATGACTAGTGACAAAAAAAAATTGCGCTGAAAATTGGGATAAACGGCTTTCGCGAGATCAGCCTCGATCTGGTATGTAAAAATGGACAAATCGCGAAAATAATCAATCCAGACTGAATCCTGGAAGGCACTAGACAGCCAGAAAAATTTTCAGATCAAAAGCTGCAAGTTCACTTTTGGCCAAGTGGTTAGCGAGCTGGGCTGGCAGTCACACGACCCGGGTTCGATTCCGGTCGTGAACTTCTTCAACCAATCGATTTCTAAAATCGATTTTTAGGTGTAGTGACATCCATAGTTGTCAAAGGAAGTATTGAAAAATTCATTTACAACGAAATCAGCACCAAAATGAGGAGAGAATCCTTTTTATCAAAGAAAAGAAAGAAAAAGTGCATTTATGACTCAAACCAACCGAATCTCCCATTCCGGTTTACTCAGCATTGAGCAAAAATCTCCTAGCATTAATTTTTCACGATTCTTCTCACGATGTTTCTTTCTTTTTTGCGTGTATATCTAGGAGAGTTTAGGTGTAAAGACTAAAAAACGCAAAAAACCCAAACGCTTGAGACTTTTACCGAATTTCCTTCTACTGCCCTCCAGGAAAGCCGAATTTGCATGAAAATTGGTCTCAAGTCGGTTTAATTACCCAATATTTGTGAAGGCCTGGAAAGGGGGAAAAACCAAATTCCCCAAAATCATTTTTTCAAGATTTGCTTCTTTAAAATCTTTGACGTGCCTTCCAGAAAGATTGATTTTGCATTTGAAATCAAAATCCAATTCAATTTTCTAAGCCTTTTTGCTTTAAACACTCAACTCTAGAAAAGCCATCATTACAAAGGCGTCAAAGCTGACTCAGCTTTTTCTAGTGAATTGTGTGACCTCCAGATCGACTAAAAAACTATCTGCTTTTCGAGATAAGTTGAATTCAACTTCAAAATTGAGGCCCGGTTCAATTACGCAATCCGAAATAGTCTACTATAAAAGGCGTCTGACTCAGCTTTTTCTAATGAATGGTGTGATCTCCAGATTCACCGAAAAACACGCGCAGGTGGGCGAAAGTAAACTCCGTTATACTCAAAAAGGAGCAGACTTTGAGAAATGATCAAAAGCAAAGAGAAAAAGGATTAAAAGAATTGAGAAAAACAAAAAAGTCTCAAAAAAAGATTTCCGGGTGTTTTTTTTTGTGCTGAACAAAGGCTGAAATCATTCTTTTATAGAAGTTTTTTTTTTCTATTATCTCGATCTTTTTTCATTAATAATGAAGAAAAGGTTGAAAATTTGGCTAAATTTGTCTAAAATTTGTCTAAAATTCAAAAGAATTATATGGAAATTTAGTTTTTTAAATGAATTTGGGACTCTTTTAAAATGTTTTTCTTATTTTCCAAACGATCAAAGCCCATTTTTGAAAGCGTTGGACGAGTGGGAAAAACAAGAGCCTTATTAAGCATGCAAAAATAAACAAATCGTGAAAATAATCCAGCCAGAGTGGATCCTGGAAGGCACTAGGCAGTTGCAAAAATTTTCAGATCAAAAGTTGCAAGTTTACTTTTGGCCGAGTGGTTAGCGAGCTGGGCTGGCAGTCACACGACCCGGGTTCGATCCCGGTCGCGAACTTTTTCGGCCAATCGATTTGGAAAATTGATTTTTAGGTGTAGTGACATCTATAGTTGCCGAAATGACTAGTGACAAAAAAAATTTGTGCTGAAAATTGGGATAAACGGCTTTCGCGAGATCAGCCTCGATATGTTATGTAAAAATGGACAAATCGTGAAAATAACCAATCCAGGGTGGATCCTGGAAGGCACTAGGCAGGCAGAAAAATTTTCAGATCAAAAGCTGCAAGTTTACTTTTGGTCGAGTGGTTAGCGAGCTGGGCTAGCAGTCACACGACCCGGGTTCGATCCCGGTTGCGAACCTTTTAAGCCAATCGATTTGGAAAATTGATTTTTAGGTCTGTGACACCGATAGTTGTCAAAGAAACTATTGAAAATTATTCGTTGTCAACGGAAACAGCAGCAAAATGGGGGGAGAATTTTTCAGAGAAGCGCTGAACTGATTCGAGATTTTTGAGCAAAATTTGGCATTTAAATTTGAGAATTCAAGACAAACTAGGATTTTTG